AATTTGCTGTCATGAATGCATGCTGGATTTTGCCAAGTCCTTTTTAGTTTTTACTTTTTCTTGCTTTCGTATCTGATATTAGTAATTTCTGTCTTGCCTTTTTTCTTAGTGTTCCTAGATGTTTATCACTTTTTTTGCATTTTACAAGAACCAGCTTTTGATTTTGTTTTTTATCTCTCTTGAATTCCTGCAACATCATTGATTTTTTTCTCTAATTTTTATTATCTCTTTTAGTGTACTTACTTTGGCTCACTTTGCTTTTCTTTTTCTTGTTTTCTGAGGTACATGCATAGATTATTGATTATAGATCTTTTTCATAGGTATTCAGTGCTATAAATATCTATGAACTGCTTTTGCTGCATTTCACAAATTTTGATAAGTTTTATTTTTATTTAGTTCAAAATAATTTTTATTTCTCTTGTGACTTCTGTGATCTTGTGTTATTTGGAAGTGTGTTATATAATAATTATAGATTTGGGTGGTTTTCTAACTACCTTTCTGTCATTGATGTCTAGATTAATAACCCCATGCTCTGAGAATATACTTTGTATAATTTCTCTTTTTTCAAATTTGTTTTGGTGTGTTTTATGTCCCAGTATGTGGTATATGTTGATGAATGTTGCGTATGGACTTGAGAAGAATGTGTATTCTGCTATTCTTGGGTAAAGTATTTCATAGATTTTAATTAAATACAATTGTTTGGTGGTGCTGTTCAGTTCAGCTATGTCCTTGATTTTCTGCTTCCTGGATCTCTTTTTTTTTGTTTAGTTTTTTGTTTTTGTGATTTTTGGTTTTTTGTGGTTTTTTTTTTTGGTTTCCAACCAGGACAAAGTACAAAGTAACTCGCTATGTCTCTTAATTACTGGTAGATGGATGTTGAAATCTCCACATATAATAGTGGATTCATTTATTTATTTTTGCAGTTCTCTCAATTGTTGCTGTATGTATTTTGCTACTCTCGTTATGCAAATACACACTAAGGTCTTCTTGGAATGTGGAGCCCTTTCTTGTTATGTAATGCCCATCTATATCTCTGTGATTTTTTCCTTTTCTGAATTCTGCTTTGTGTGATCTTAATATAGCTATGCCATGTTTCTTTTGATTTGTGTTAGTGTTCCATATATTTCTTTATGCCTTTACTTTTAATATCTGTGTGTCTTTGTATTTAACCTGAGTTTCTTTTAGATAATACATTAGGTTTGTTTTTTGTTTTGTTTTGTTTAAATTCATTGTAACAGTATGGGTCTCACTATGGTATTTGGACCTTTGACATTTAAAGTGGTTATTTCTATAGTTTGATTAATATCTACCATATTTTGACTATGTTCTACTTGTTGTCCTTGTTTTATGTTTGTTTTCCTTTTGTTTTTTGTCTTTCGCTTCTGCTTTCTCTGGCTTTAACTGAGCATTTTACCTGGAGATGAAGTGTTCTAAAGTATATTATTCATTCTCAGTCTTACAGTGAGCCTGTGGCCCTGGGTGTGGTCTTCTGTGGTATAAGAAAGATACTTGGCCTTTTGCTCCAGTTTCTATCACAGATCTGTCAAAACCGTTTGAATTTCCTATTAGATAAGGGTGATAGAAGTGTCTTTTTTTGTAATGGGATAATTCTTGGTGGGTACCTTGATAGCTTTAGGATGCGGGGTTGATTCTCAGAAAGACAAAGACTTGATGAGAGGATTGGAACTTTCAGCCTCAATGTCCAACCTCTGGGGATAGTAGAGGGACTAGGGATTTAGTGATGTAATGAATCACGCCTAACTGATAAAACCTCAATTATATTCCAAAATGAAGGGGTTCTGGTGTTTCTGGCTTCTTGTTCAATGCGTGGAGTACTTGGAAGGTCTCAGAAGCTCTGTGTTCTTGCACCCATACTTTGCCCTATGTGTATGTTCCATATGGTTGTTGCTGAGAAGTGTTGTTTGTAACTAACTGGTAATACTGAGGAAAGCATTCTCCTGAGTTCTGAGAATCATTCTAGTGAATTATTGATCATGCAGGTGTGTCATGCAAACCTTGTATTTGTAGTCAATCAGGCAGAAAGGTGGATAGCCTGGGCACCCCACTTTGGTTCACATTTGAAGTGGGAGCAGTCTCATGGGACTGAGCCCACAATCTGTAGACTCTGACGCTAACTCTGGGCACTTAGTGTTAGAGGTGAATCAAGCTATAGGACACCTAACTGGAATCAGAGAATTGGACAAGTGGTGTTGGAAAAGACACCACTTCCTTGGTTGTCAGAAGTGGGAAGAAAACAGCTATCAGCATCTCCCTTGCTTTTATCGCCCTTCTCACTCCACTTAGGTGGGCAGGAAGGCTAGAGAGGACTAACTTTGGGCATTGCTGTGAGGAAAATGGAGTTAATTTAGTCAGGCCCGCTCACCTCCTATCCGGCCGGGTATGATTCAGCACATCCGTTGTAAACAAGTTATGTAAGAGTAGTGTTAGTGTGTGTGTGTGCCCATGTTCCTCTGGGCTGGTTGCCACTATTGTTGTGTACTTTTGTTATGGAAGGCAGTGGCTCTAACTGCTGGCCAGTGGAGCTCACATCTGGAATAAAGCATGCCCACTTTGCCAGCAGCTACTCAGTTTTTCTTCCACTTACCTGGCTCAGGACCTACACAGGACTGGGTAGTGGGGCCTGTGACCCAGCCTGACAATTGGCGTAGTTGGCAGGATTCCAAACAGGTAAGGGAGCCACTGGCCCCTTGGGAGGGGGAGGAAATGTGGCTATCCTCGAGTATGTGGTACCGGGCGGCTGCTTTCCTGTTGGCTGGGGTCTGGCTGTTGCTCACTGTACTACGAGTCCGCATGGACCAGGCACTCCATGAAGCAGCATGGCTTCAAGATTTGCAGCAGAAAGCAGACTTGTGGGAAGCATGGGTACTTGTTCTGGAGGCTGAAGTACAGCAACAGATCACTCCTGATTCTGACACTGGGGTCAATGACAAATCCAAAGGTGAGTTGGGGGAGATTGGGCATCTGCTGGCATGACCTGTTGTCTATCAGAAACTAAAGCATGAACAGCCCACAGGATGAGGTGGGCAACCAGTAGGCAATCCACGAGTGTCCCAGTTCACTGCTTATGTCCCCTACACTCAAGCTGGGTTGTTGGATTTGGGGAAACAGTTTCACCAGAAACAGGGTGAACCCCTAGCTGCTTGGCTTTTGCTGCTGGTGGATGGCATAATGTGCTCTGGTGAGGAGATGGAAAAGTTGGCATCCATCACCACGCACCCATCCCTGTGGTAGCAGCTACAGAATAGCCACAGATATGCACTGGGATAGGATGGCCTCTCCTTGATAGAATGGGTGAATGTAGCTGTCTGGACTGTATGGACGAATACTGGAGAGCTGCCCGAAACTGTGAGTAGGTGGCAAACATATGCCGAGCCAGTTCAAATAATTTGGGAGCTAGGGACGTGGCAGTCCATGTTTAATGTGAACACCTGTGGCCCGGATGATGAACGTTTTACCGGCAGCCCACGAGGCATGGTGCTTCAAAATGCTCCGTCAGTGTCTTTTGGGTCACTGATGGCCCTATTGGCCCCATATGTTGGTTGTCCTACACATGAAGTGATGACCATGATAGCCAGTCTGGGCGAGACAGAGGAGAGGAGACAAACAAAGGGAGTCCGAAAAGTGGTGAAGACCAAGTCCTCAAGAAATGCTGAGTGTTGCCCTGAAGGGACTGAGCTAGATCAGCCACATGCAGATGTGGCTTGACTTGCTCACTGCAGGAGTTAATAGGAAAAAAATCGACTGGCAGCCAAATGCAGTCTTGTTTGCCTTGTGGCAACAATTATGCCCCAAATAGCATTATACCAAACTTCCAAAAGAGACAAATGCTAAAGTATGCCTGGTGTATTTGAAGGATTTTATGGCTACTTCCGTGGAGGCAGGTGAGCTGTTCTTTTTTGGCTAAGGACCAGGCCGAGGTGCTCGTCTTTTGGGGACAGACAAGGACCGGAGGCCTCATGTTGAACTGGCAATACATTGGTCAGGGATAAATGTACAGTGTGTATTGGCATTGGTGGACACCGGCGCAGAGTGTAGCCTGATGCATGGCAACTCAGATGAATTTCCGGGGCCACAGTGAATGTTGATGATTATGGAAGACAGACTATTACAATCAAAGCTGTGTCTTCGCTGCTGGGCATTGGATGATTGCCCCCTCATGTATATACTGTGTATGTATCCCCAGTAGCTGAATACATCTTGGCTATAGATGTACTTTATCGGCTACACCTGCAAATGACAGTTAGAGAATTCTGGCTGTGGATAAGGACAATAAAGCCTGTGTTGGGGGGACATGTTAAACATGACCCACAGGTATTTTCCAAGCCAAAATGTGCAGTTAGTGTGAAACGGTATCGCCTGCCAGGAGGACGCGTGGAGATTGGTGACAATATATTGGAGTTAGAAATTAGAAAAGGTTCACATCATTTGTCCCGCGCATAGTCCCTTTAATACCCCAGAATGACCACTGAAAAAGCCTGATGGGACCTGGATGATGATTGTGGACTATTGGGAACTGAACAAAGTAGTGCCTCCTTTGCATGCAGCCATGCCTTTGGTTCACAACTTAATAGATCAGCTGATGACTCATCTTCGAACTTACCATTATGTAGTGGACCTTGCAAATGCTTTTTTCTCTATCCTGATCTTGGCTGATCAATTTGCCTTCACCTGGGACTGAGGGCACTGGACTTTTCAGGTGTTACACCAAGGCTACCTGCATAGCCCAACCATCTGTCATGGTTTAGTGGCTGGGGACGTAGTTAAATGGAGAAGGCGCAGCACAGTTACCATGTTTCATTATATAGATGATGTTTTACTAACCTCTGATTCTCTTGCAGATTTAACCAAGGCGGCTCCAACACTGCTAGGTCTTTTGGAACAATATGAGCGGGGCCATATATAAGGGTCTTACCCTTTGGATTTCTACTTGGAAATATCAGCAGTGGATGGTAGGCCACCGACCCCTGTGGGGACAGGCCATGTTGCAAGAGTTATGGGAATTGGGCCACAAGAAGGAGGTAACTCTTTACCATGTCACAGGACACTTCCCCTTATGCAGTCTGGGCAATGATGAAGCTGATGAGCTGGATAAGGTAAGATGGCTGGAGAGAGCTCCAGCCGTTGATGTAGCCCAATGTTTACATCGATGGGTGCAGCATGCTGGCAGCAAAACCATGTGGATGGCTGTGCAAAGGTGGCCCCTACCCATAAAATGGGAAGATATAATAAACTTATGTCACATTTGTCTGGTATGCACTCAAGAGAGCCCACACCCCTGGCAGATATCGTACACCAATGGGCAAATAACCTGTGGAAGGGTGCCCCTGACTTGAAGGCAAGTGGATTTTGTGGGACCACTGTCCAGGTCAGAGAATTTCAGGTATATCTTTACAGCCATTGATACAGCTACAGGACTCCTGTTTGTAAGGTCCTGCAAGGCCCTACACCAGGCAAGCACTATTAAGGCATTGAACAGCCTTATGGCCATGTACAGTCAGCCCCTGGTCACAGAAAGTGATAATGGAACCCATTTTATTGGATATGAAGTACAGAAGTGGGCTTCTCAGTTGTCCATTCAGTGGAAGTTACATGTGCTGTATCATCCCCAGGCAGCAGAAGTGACTGAATGGTACAATGGTCTTCTGAAAAAGGGACTAAGCCTCTCCACCCAACCCCCATCCCTGAAGGAGTGGACACTGCAGTTATGGCCCACAGGATCTCAAATGAGAGACCCGGCAAGGGCAGGCCCTCTCCAGTGGAGGCTCTGTTGCATAGAGCTGTAGCACCCGTTCCTGCAGCCATTCCTTCCAGGATGGTAAGCTGGCATGTGTTCTGCCAGAAGGAGAACTCCTTATATTGTGCCAATAACCTTTTTGTCTTTTCGCCCACTGTACTGTGGCTGCAGACACCAGGGTCAACTAGACACGTACATAGTTCGTGTAGCCAATGTGTCTTCTGCTTGCTGAATATGCACCAAGTTTCCTACCAATGTGGCTGCAGGATTCCCATGGAAAATCACCCCAATGCCGACTACTAACCGGACATGTGTATGGGTGGGGTTTTCGTGGCTAATAGTTGAAAGGATATAACTACTGGGACAAGCCTCAAGGTGTATAGAATGTACAGTAGGTATGGAGGTTATGTGAGTACAAGAACCAGCCATCCTCGCTAAGGGAACACTGTGGAAGATTCTGAATGTGTGGATTGTATGGCGAGAGACCCTGAAGAGGTGGAGTGTGAGGAAGATGGAGTTAGTTTAGTCAGGCCCTCTCGCCTCACATCTGGCTGGGTATGATTCAGCACACCCGTTGTAAACAAGTTACATAAGAGTAGTGTTAGTGTGCATGTGTGCTCATATACCCCTTGGCTAGTTGCCACTATTGTTGTGTACTTTCAGTATAGAAGGCAGCAGTTCTGAACCCATGGCTGGTGGAGCTCACATCTGGAATAAAGCATGTCCACTCTGTCAGCAGCTACTCGGTTTTTCTTTCACTTATCTGGCTCAGGACCTGCACAGGACTGGGTAGTGTGGTCTGTGACCCAGCCCAGCAATTGTCTCCCCAATGGGTCAGTTAGGCTTGAAAAAAATCCTAGTGATTAGACTCTGTTGAAGTAGATCGATTTGATGACAAGCCTTGTTAAGAGGAACAGGATATTGGAGGCCTAATTCAAAATGGCTACTTTTCATGCCTGTCTTTCCAGTTCTGCAGTCATTGGTTTGCCCCATGACCTCAATGCTCTGATGGACCTGTGAAGACTTTGATTTTAAGTTTGTTTGCTGTTTTCTTGTGAGGGTAGGAAAGATGACATCTAAGCCCCTTACATACCAAACCAGAAACTATTCATCTCTGACATCATTTTTTGATGTTTGGTTGCAGATTAAACTTCTCAACCCTCCTTCTTCCATCCGTGACCCACATCAAACCAGGATGGTCCTAAAAGCCTGGGATCACTCTCCTTTGTTCCTGACAAGGGATTCAGTCCACCCAAGCCCATTCCCTTGTGCATGAAATCTCACCCTACCTTCCACCCAATTTAAATAAAAACCCCAGGCCAGGCACCTTTGCTTGCTCTCTCAAGCCTTTTAATACTTGCCTGAGAGGTCTTCCCCACTCTTCCCAGAGACCTCAATTATAGAAATTAACTCTTCCATACCATGTTAGTATGTGTGTTGTGTCATCTGCCTTGACATCTGAACCAATTCTTGGGTGACAGGTCCACCTTCCTCTACAGATGACTATAACAGTGATACAAACAGCAAGATGATGGATTTATTGTAATACACTTAATTGTTCTACTCGTATATCCTTCAGATATTTTCAT